CTGCACGACAGAGCCGTATCGGAAGTGGTTAAGGAGGAAATCACCCTCGATGACCACGACTGGATAGCTACACTACAGAGATCTCATCAGGAGTGTTGTATGAGGTTCCACCCTCGGCACTCAATGGTAACTCTGCAGAGTCGAGCAACAAAAGGGGAAAGTGATGTGCGGTGCCGGGGCCTGGTCTTCGATCCCGTTGATCGGGTCTTCGATGATGAAGTAGGGGCAACAAGGACAAGGTGGGGTCACTGATGGATCACTAACCAACCTATACTAAGCAGTTTAGGATAAGCAGTTAAGGTAACAATAAGTAGGTAACAAAAACAAGCTATGCATCAGAGTAGGATCATACAGAAAGTAGTAGCAGTTCTAATGCAAGCATGAGAGGGAAAGAAATGGGCGATATCGGAATGCTCAAGGGGGGTTTGCTTGCCTGGTTGCTCAAACGAGAAGGAGGGGTCATCGGTGAGGTAGCGATCACAGCGGCATCGGCATCCGTCACGGGGTCTACCGAAGAGAAGAGGGGGGAGAAACAGTAAATACATAGCAAGCAAGTGCATAACAGGACAACAGGCAGAGCTAGACGTGTTCTAACGCGGTGCTACACATTACCGGCGAAGGGGATAACATCCGGGAATGCTTTCCCGAAGTTTGGCATTTTCGGACATACGAACTAGAGGGAAAAGGTTGCATGTTCGCTAAGTTAGGAACACATGACAGATGAATGGAGAGCATATTCGGATTCGTCTCGTCGTCCGGAGCAACTTTCATGTATAAAACTTTTTTTATCCGAGCTACGGTTTATTTTATATGAATTTCTAAAGTTTTAAACAATATTTTGGAAATCCCTGAAATTTTGCTAAGTCTGAGAATTCGACAGTTTTTTAAACATCACTTGACTGTTTTCAAAAGACTACAACTATTGTTCTGTACATCCTATGAGTTAGTGCCTTATATCAATTTTGAGTACTTTTTTGTGATTTACATGTTAGTACCAATTACATCCATATTAGAGTTCATTTGCTTGAACATCAAGAGCACTAAAGTAGCTATGAAAATAAAATTGTCTTTCGGTTTTCCTGTTAACAGGACATTAAACTTTGTGATTTTCGTAGGAATTAATCCATGCATCAAAAGGGTTTGGTCCAGTGGGATAAAATGGAGTTTGTGAAGTATACTTTCTACTCATATTTTCTTTAGCCCTGTTGGTAGTTGTTTAGCCGCAGTCAAGGGGTTAATTGAGGTAGAAATTAGAAAGCTAGCTAGCGCTCAGTTACTGTAGCTGCAGCAGTACAGGTAGAGCAGCGGCAGTAGGCAGCGAGCAGCAGCGGCAATGGGGAAGCAAGGGCAGGGCAGCGGCAGCACGGAGAGGCCGGCCGAAGGCGGGCGAGGCCAGAGGTGGGTGCGGCCACACACTCAGCGTACACACACTGCACACACACACACCGCACACACACACACGGCCGCTCGGCCATGGCCAGCAGTAGCAGCAGCCGGCCGCGACGGCTAGCGGCAGCACGCGTGCGCGGGGGCGGCCTGGGGCGAGACAAGGCGCGGTGAGCGCGCACACGCACGGGGAGCGGAGCTCTCGTCATGGCGGCGAGCGGCGGAGCGGACGCCGAAGTTCGGGCGTTGGTGGTTACGGCGATGTGGGGGCACGTCAAGCGACGCGGGGAGCGGCGTTAGGCTCCTACGAGCTCTAGGAGCTCGACTACGAGCTCGGACGCTAGCTCGGGCTACGGTGGTCACGGCGGCGAGCACGTCTACGGCGACGAGTATGGCCATGACGTGGTCGGCGGCTACGAGTGCGGAGATGAGCAGGGGAGTAAGGGGAGAAGGAGAGGAGCTCACAGCGGAGCCGTAGGCGTGCTCGGGGAAGGTCGGGGTGGTCGGAGCAGAGTAGTTGGGCGGTGGCGCGCCGGCGACCGAAGAGGAAGGAGCGCTCGATCCCAGCGATGTAGAGGCGCCCAGCTCGAGCCATTCGGTGTAGTCGAAGTAGAGGAGCGAGGCGGAGCTAGTGGACATGGCGGGACGATGCGGGCTGGCTAGTGGCCGCGGATGGTGACGGCGATGGAAGCGCTCGTCGTCGAACAGAGGAGGAGATCGAGCGAGAGGAGAGCGAGTGCAAGTGCGGCCTAGGGTTTGTCCAAGGGGAGTTCTCGGGTTCAAGTAGGACGCCGGGAGGGATCGGATGGCCGCCACGCAAGTGGTCATGACCGGCGGATGGCCACCACGGCCATGCTGCCTCCCCTCTGTACAGTACAGAGGTAGGGGAGAGGCCGGTGGTGGGCTTGGGCTGCACTATTCATATGGGCCAAAGTGCACAGCAACACTTTCTCATTTTCTAATTCTGTCAAACCTTTTGTCTCAGTTTTCCATTTTTAGGCACTAAATGACATTAGTTCTACAAGATACTACACCTATGATTCAAATACAACATTTTGGGTGTTACAAACAAGGTTCCATTTTAATTGGGAAGGTTTAAACGTTTGTTCATTTTGAAAAGGCCATTTAATTTACTGTTGGTCAGTTTGTTAATTTACTACGAATTTATTTGTGAGCCAAATGAAGTTGGTTTCAACATGACAATTGATCAGGGAAATTTATAAAATAATATGAACATTTTTATTTTAGTTATTAAAGAATTAATGATTTGACTTGCAATTTGATTATGAATTTAAGTTTGATTTTTTTTATCCAAGGGCAATTAAACTTGGCAATCATGGTGGCATGGCATCATTAGGTTTGAATTACTGTAGCATGATTGCCGGGGTGTTACATATTTTCACCTCGGTCATATTGTCGTAGTGCTTAGGCGAAGCCCTGTGTCGGTAACTTCATCATCACCGTCAACACGCCGTCGTGCTGATGGAACTCTTCCTCGACCTCAGCTGGATCTAGAAGTTCGAGGGATGTCACCGAGCTGAACGTGTGCAGATCGCGGAGGTGACGTGCGTTCGGTACTTGTTTGGTTGGATCGCGAAGACGTTCGACTACATCAACCACGTTACTTAACGCTTCCGTTTTCGGTCTACAAGGGTACGTAGACACACTCTCCCCTCTCATTGTTATGCATCTCCTAGATAGATCTTGCGTGATCGTAGGAATTTTTTTGAAATACTGCGTTCCCCAACAAAATTGTGATCTTATTATTAATACAACTGCCATCCTATTATTAATAATGAAAACTGGCATCCTTTTAAAATAAAACTACCATGGCAGGTTAATAAAAATGACATATTCTAACAAGTTAAAATGCCATGGTCAAAACAGTGAAAATGACAGGCTACCTATAATGAAAATTTACACATGACAACACTAGAACAAGTTTGTTAGAATAAGCAACAATTTGCCCTGTTAAAAACATTATATGTCATGACAACTATATGAATTTGCCAGGGTAAAAACATATTTCGCGTGCGGACATTAAGGAAAATTCTAGAAAAATTGTCATGTTAAAACATTATTTGCCATGGCCAACTCTAGGAATTAGCCATGTGGACATTGTTTGCACATGTAAACTTGCCATATACAGTACCTAACACAAAAATGCCATGTGATCAATACAAATTGCTCTAAAAAAACATGTTTGGTTAAACAAAATTAGAATGTGTTGAATTAGCCATATGAGATTTCAAAGATTTGCCATGCCACCTTGCACAAAAAATGCCATGTATTGTAGAACAAAAGCACAATAATCTTGCTATGGATCATTGCCATTGTTTGGTAGCACTGGAATCACCAGCTAGAGCATACAAAGACCAGTAGCAAAACACCGCCGGGGCAAAATGAACATGCTCGGCAAAGCACTAGCTAGAGCACTAGTCAGGCAAAACTGAACACAAATTGCCATAAATCAAACAAAAAGAACTTTGGACATGTATAAAAATGAACATGTGAAATTTTCATGGCTGAAAACTAAAAAGAGTGTGGCAGCTACATGAAAACAGCACAAGCTAAAACTCAGACCGTGGCAGTTTTGACATTGAATTGCCCATGTCAATTTCTTTTAATTCTACACGTCAATTTTTTCGTAGTCCCATCCATTTTATATGCAATCATGGCAATTCCCCTCTAAAAACCACACAACCCTACCCCCGTGAGACGCATCTCTCGGGGAGGCGCGCCGTGTCGGAGATGACCTTCCTCAGTAGTAGATTAGCCTCCTTTGTCCCGGCCTCGAGAAGGCTCTCTGTCGTCCTCAGCTCCCACCATCATCGGCTCGCCATCCGCGGCGGTCATCGTCGACAGGCTCCGTCGTTGCGACCTCATAGAGTTTGAGATGCATCGATGATGAGTGCCTAGCTAGTGTGGAATCTGACGGATTATGCAGTGGTCCCCGTTGAGAACACCGGCGCGAGGTCTCCCTCCCTCTCACTCACTCACTCACCCACTCTATGTGCTCGGAAATGGGGAAATGGGATGCGAAGGGGGAGGAGGGCACCCGATGTTGATTGCATAGGGCGTGTACGCGTCCTGTGTGGTCAGGTTCCCGCGAATGGGCTGGTCTTTCTGACGTTACACTGAGATACTTTAACATCCATGTTTTCAATCCAACGGTTAAAAAGGCGTTCACTCGGAAAATCTTAATATTTAACGCCAGCTAGATAAGATTTCCGAAAATCTAACATCAGACTCTTTAGCCCAGCTCTTGGAAAAAATATTAACTCTTGTAAACCCTGGTCCACTCGCTGGACAAAATCCACGGAAGAAAGGAAAAAGAAAACAAAAACCCATCCACACCCACACTCGCCGGAGCGACGCCAAGCAACACCATCATCGCCTCCGGCAGGCAACCCCAGTCTCCCCATCGTCACCTCCAGCTACTTCACTCCCCCACCCTCCGCCGCCGGTGCTGCGCCGCTTGCTCGCCGCCCCCTAGAGCGGGCGGGGGACCACCAGGTACACCACTCCGTCCGTGCCTGGTGTTGTCTTCCCCTCGCTCCTCTTCCGGCTCTCTGATTCGACCCGCGCGCCGGAGCTGGGAGGGAGGAAACCAGATGCTGTTCTGTTGCTCTCTCTCGCCCCCAGGAATCCAAACTTATCCGCTCCCACCATTCCAGCAGCAGAGCAGCTCCCCGCGGAAAGTACGCAGCTCCGGCCGGCACAAGAGCAGCAAGGCCGAGCATCAATATTTCAGGGCGCAATCTTTCCGGGCGCGGGCCAGGGACCAACCTTTGCGTGCTCAAGCGCATCCAGATGGTGGCTACGGCCCTCCGGAGCAAGACCCTGAGGCCGAGGGGCACTCGCCAGGCTCCCCGGACGCGGAGACGCTTGCTTCCTGGTTGCGTTCTTGCGGCACCGTGGCCGATGTTCGGCGAGTGCACGGGGTTGCTGTGCGGTCGCCAGATGGTCCGGGGATTTTTCTGGCTAATAATTTGATCACTTCATATGTGAGGTCCCGTGAGATTTCAGACGCGAGGAAGGTGTTTGATGAAATGCCTGACAGGACCGTTGTGTCGTGGACGGCTATGATGAATGGGTATCTGAAGTCGGGCAACTACAGTGAGGTCGTCAGGCTGTTCTTGGACATGATGGCCAGCGGGGAGCGAGGTAACAGCTTGAGTTTCGTTTGCTTGCTGAAGTCTTGTGGTGAGCAATCCAATGCTAAGCTAGGGCAGCAGGTCCATTGTTGTGTTGTGAAAGGAGGGTGGAGCAATGTGATTCTGGATAGTGCCGTTGCACACTTCTATGCTCAGTGTGGTGATGTTGCCAGTGCTTCAATGATGTTCGATAAGATGACCTCTCGTGATGTCATCTCGTGGACAACAATGATCACGGCTTATGTGCAGCATGGGCATGGGGATAAGGCCCTTCAGATGTTTCCGGCGATGTTCTCTGAGGGATTTCACCCTAATGAGTTCACCGTGTGCAGCATCCTCAAAGCTTGCGCAGAAGAGAAGGCTCTAAGATGTGGGAAGCAGCTGCATGGTGCTCTTGTGAAGAAGTTGTTCAAAAATGACATCCATGTCGGCAGTGCTCTTGTTACCATGTATGCCAGAAACAGGCAAGTGTCTGATGCTCAGGCAGTGTTTGATATGATGCCTAGAAGAAACACTATTACATGGACTTCTCTGATCTCGGGCTATGCGCAGAGTAGCCAGGCTGAAAAGGCTATCATGTTGTTTCGACAGATGAAGACGCGACGGGTGTCTGTTAACAACCTTACCATTGTTGGTCTTCTTAGTGCCTGTGGCTCCATAAGATCACTCAGTCTTGGTAAGGAACTGCATGCACAGGTAATAAAGAATTCCATTCAAGAGAATCTTCAAATTGGGAGTACGCTTGTTTGGTGCTACTGTAAATGTGGAGAGTATACATATGCTGCACGAATTCTGGAAGAAATGCCAGACCGTGATGCTGTCTCGTGGACAGCTATGATTTCAGGCTACAATAGCGTTGGTCATAGTGCCGAAGCACTTAAGTCATTAGATGATATGTTATGGGATGGTGTGACTCCAAATACCTACACTTATTCCTCCGCTTTGAAAGCCTGTGCGAAACTAGAGGCTCTGCAAGATGGAAGGAGGATTCACGGTGTTGTTAACAAGACTCCTGCCTTTTCAGATGTGTTTGTGGGAAGCTCATTGATCGATATGTACATGAGGTGTGGAAAAGTTGACGAAGCTCGACGAGTCTTCAACGCCATGCCAGAACACAACTTAGTAACATGGAAAGTGATTATTACAGGATTTGCTCAGAATGGCCTCTGTGAAGAGGCTTTTAAGTATATGTACCTAATGCAGCAACAAGGGCATGATGCTGATGACTTTATGCTTTCAAAAGTTCTGACATCATGTGGTGATCTTCAATGGAAGTCAGACTCCATCTCTTTTTCTGGCTCGAATACTGGTTCACTCAGATAGGTAAAGTCTACTGTCTGAGTTAATTTCTGGGGATTAATTTGTACAGAGTTCTTGCAGTTAGCTTAACTATTTATGCTACTAGTAGTTCTCCGCGTACTCTGTATCGGTTATCATGGGATGTGATTGCTTTTGAGATTGAGCAATTACACGAAAAGAAATATTGATTTATTTTATTCTGTTTCCTGCACTAGTGATGCTAGGTAATTGATATTGTTTATTTACTGTTAAGAGTTTTAGTATCTGAATTCCAGAGTTGGTGTATTCTACCGGAAAGCCAAGTTTCAAGCAATAATAAGATTGCAACACATTTAAATTATGTAGCACATGTGAGGTTTTCTTTGGGGTAATATGGAGGATGCAACTGTTATATATTGTTGAACCTTGCATTTGATTTTACGCCAATTCTGTTTTTTTTTTGCTGCAATGTTTTCAGAGTTGTCTTGCTTAAACAAATGAAATTTTCTTGCAGCAATTATCTATCTCAAAATTATCACTGAACTACTACTTTTCGAACCCTAATCCCAGATTTGTACTTATTGTGCTAATGTTATCATAAAGCTGCACATTTTACCAGCTGGACAACTATGAACCACATGGCATGCACATGTGGCTCTGCTGACCTCAGAGTGGTTAACCTGTTGGCCTATTGTTGCAGCTCATGCTAAAAAAAGGTGTAGTTTCCTGGTAATATGTGCGGAGAATGCGTAGTTTGTGAATATTTTTTCAAGAAGCATATTTCTTTTGTCTTGGTTGATGCTATATGTCAATTTAACATGTTTTCTAATGTTTTTCTCACTAAATTCTGTTCTTGTTAATTGAAAGAATCTAAAACCCCCAAGATGTTACTTAGATTCAGAAAGTTTCCATCCACTTCATCAGTTTGTTGCTTGAATAGCTGATTCTTGCTCTAATGTTTAGCTTATCATATAATGTAATCAGATACAAACCCTTCTTATTTCTGAACACTTGGGAAAGGTGATGACAGAGATAATGAAACAAGAGCAAATAATTGATGGAGTAAAGCCGTTGCAATAGTTATTCTAATGAAATGTTATATGTCAAAAGTATTAGTAACAACCAGCCTGTTATTAGTTATCCATATACTCATCCACATCAGATCCCCTGTCTGGCCACTTCTTTCCTATTTTCTTCATCATCGAACAGACAAACAAACTTTAAGAACACCTTTTGTGCTTCATCTTCTAAGACATTGCTTGATATTGTTACATTGTGAAGTAGATTGCTATATGAGTTTCATGATAGATACAATTATTGATGATTTCTGCATTGAAGTCACACACTACAACTAAAAGGTGAATGTTAGTTCCTTTTCCAGTACCGTATGTATTTTTGTCATGGAAATGCAAATCTTAGAATGAATACTTAATGCATGCGTAAATAGTGAAAACATTTGTGACAGAAACACTGGATCTCCATATTAATATATCTGACATGAGTACAGTGTGAAATGCCAATTCTGTTTGTTCTTGGCTTCACTTATTCTGGTTTTGTCACTGCCTTGTATTGTTTGTAGAAGTAAAATTGCCCATATCAACATCAAGTGTTTGGTTAATGCTATTGCATGGTGCATGAATACAGAACATGCGCCTGTGTCATTTCTCTCTGTTTATTTTCTGGATGCATGGCAGATAAATTGGCAAAAACAAGCACTTCCATATTTTTTATGGTGGCAGCTGTTTGGCATGACTCCCAGCTCCAAAAAATCTAGGCGCTGGAGCTGGGGGTATATTAATGGTGTTGACATGAGCCTTCTTTATTCATGTTAGACTGAAATTTGTGCTAACGGTAGTATGGTACTTTATTTAGCCTACAAACTCCAGGTCCTGCAAGAAACAGGGAGTTGGAAGAGCTCATTACCTTAACTTGTCTGTGGCCCCGGAGGACAGTTCAATTTAGTTCAGCAAACACTAGGTGTATGCAATTCATGACTAACCTCTTTAAGTTTGTCTGAACTTCATTTGGATCATATAGCCTAAAGAAATTGACACCTTTCACTTTGGGAAACCAAAACAAAACAATTAAAGTGATTTGAAATAGTTGGAATTTGAATGACTGTAAAGTTCAGTTAAATATACAGAAGTGTGATGCAGTTCTTGACTCGTACCTTTGAAGCGCCTAGATCATAAATTCTGACTACAGAACATGTGGAAGCTAACAGATTTTGCTTTAGAATAGACATGATACATCAATCTAATGAATCCGAATATGTATATTGTGCAGTTTATAAAACCAAGTATTGAATTGAATGTGATAACCCTTTTTGCACACTGTTCTATTGCCTTCTATCTCATATTGCATAATTTCAGTTTTCTCCTCCAAACAATTCTTTCAATCGTCGCGCTGCTTGCAATTGGTTATATAATTGCTACATTGTATAAACAGAAGATCTATGTTAGCGATATATTGCCTTATACAACAGCATGTATGTCATATATGTGCCCCACGTGAGGTCTTTCAACATGTTTCATCTATCCTCAATGAGTATGGATTTTCCCTACTGGAGATTCCATGGACACTATAAACCTGTACTAGTCTTTGTATTGCTTCACACAATAACTTGCTATGTGAATGAACAGTTATTTGCTGATTATTTTATTTTGTCTTCTACTTCTTGAAGCCGGCCTTAGAAAGTCAGACGGAGAGTCATGCAAAGGTGTGTCCGGCTCAAGTGATTCTTTTTTACATTTAACAAACTGAGTCCTAATCTCCCCCCCTTCTTTTTAAAATGGATAATAGGGCTTACAGATGCAAAAACATGGCAGTTACAGAAACGGCCAATCTGGATGCTGCAGAGGAAAAGGTAAAGATAATTAAATCTGGGTTTGATCTAGTTTTGGATAGACTGATGGTGTTCGGTAATGAGGAATGATACTGTGGCAGCAAAAAGAAAGAATGCTACAAGAATATCTGCCCTTTCCTTGTTCTAATTTCTTTTATTTTACATCAACTTTTTTTTAATATGTAAAGAAGTAAAAAATTCCCAAATTGATAAATCTCATGAATGCTTTCAGATGCATAATATAATCTTTGTTTTGAGGCTCGTTTTCTTGACTTTTGACTGTGCTCATCTTGCCCTAATCTCGAGTCCAGGCCACAACCTGGAAATGACAGCCTTTTCCTTATGGTATGGCAGCACATTACACAAACACAAGTAACCCATTATACCTTAATACTGATTTTGGTGCAGCATCACCAAGCAGCTTTGCCTACACCTTATGGCAGCACAAATGGGTCACTAACTTGAGTACAAAGTGATGGTTCTGATGCTGCAAAGCTGCAGCTTTTTAGTAGCATATTCAGCCATATTTATAGAGTACAAGTCATTTTGTTCTAATGGACTTTGGCTACTGAACCTGGACAGGTTCAATCTGCTTCTAGTGCTCATCAAGTGAGCTGCAAAATATCTAAATTATAGCCTACAAAGCGTAGTGTGTGTTCAGGCACACATTTATAGAAGAAACTAGATTTTGCTACTAGAACAGCCAAGCAAAAAATAATAATCAATACTTGTCTTTACGGATGGGAACTCTATTTATTTAGGCAATTCCTCATATCTGATGCACTCGACAGCTACCATGGTTGGTTTGCCTTTTGCTTTGAGTTGCCTGCAAATACATATCACCTGTTGCAATGCCATGACATTCCAATTATGGTTCATCTCTGTCCTAATGTGTTTCCCATCAGGGTTTTTTTACCAAAGAAAAGGGGTAAATACAATAAAAAGCAGGCTTAATTAGCTTAATAACATAGCTGAACTGTGTAGGTTCCAAGTAATGTCAGCGTTGGGACTTCACCAAGGGGGCTTGCGCATTATTGTTATGTCCAACACCTTGGTGTTCTTGAATGATCTGTTGCATCTGAAATTTATTTGGTGCCTGTGAGAAAGATTCTATAGAAGAAGATGCAGTGTAACATAATCATTATAGGCAATAACAATACAAAAGCATGCTTCAGTTGCGATGTTCGTGCCATGCATTGTGCTGGTTCAACAGCTTTTTATGTTGCTTAAGCATGCTACTTAAGTACTACACTGCAGTAACATCATTCGTATCTAATGAGACACCAGTGTTGTGTATTGATCAACGTAATACATCTCAAGCGAAAGGCGCTGGCTGGAAGTATGGATGTTTCTATTTTTTTTATGATGTACCTCTAATGAAATACTCCCTCCGTCCGGAAATACTTGTCATCAAAATGAATAAAAAGGAATGTATCTAGATGTATTTTAGTTCTAGATACACCCTTTTTTGTCCATTTCGATGACAAGTTTTTTTGGACGGAGGGAGTATGTGACAGGCTGCGAGAAAGGAAGTAGGTGGAGGATGGGATCCCACATGTACGAGAGAAGTTTTATCCTATATCGGACATCAGTGTTACAAGCCCGGTTTCCTGTGAAGCCTATGCAAGCTCAGATCTTAGATCTGGGCTTAAATATGGACAACTCCGTGGCTCTCTGAGTAGTAACTTAACTCCGAATCATACACTTGGTCCAGCGCGAAGAATCTCTCCACTTACAAGCAATAATCAGCCCAGAAGGTGCTTTATTGCTGCTGCTATGCTACTTGTGTGTAGAAAATGATTTGGTGCATCGATAATTATTGATCGTGCACTAGGCACATATATATAGGT